ACCAGTCATTCACAAAATCCAAGAACCAGTCATTCACACAATACATGAACCAGTCATTCACAGAACCCATGAACCAGTCATTCACACAGCCCATGAACTAGTATCCCAGGTTACAGATTTTTTTTTTTTTACTAAATAATAAATTTTCTTTTTAAAATATCTAAAAGATGTATTTTAAAATTTACTTACATTTTGTATTTATTTCATCTGCTTATTAAAAATATTATACACAAAAATTATCTCAATTACATCGATGTACGGGCTGTTAAATTTGTATGCAAAATTGTGTGTCTTTCAGGCCCAGTGTTGTAGTAGCGTTAGTATTACTGTTAGCACAGACACAGTTGGCTAAATATGTGTTTCTTCAAGAAGGAGGACAACACCTGCGACTTGACAACAGGTGGGATGATAGTTAACATGTCCTAGGGAACTATTTGTTAAGGCTATTCAAATAGGTAGAGAAGCTAAAAAAAAAATTATTAGTTCATAAGGTTTAACTAATCTGTTATGATGAGAGTTTGATAATATAATAATTATTTATAAATCTCATTGAGTGACAACTATCAAATCTCATTTAATGCATTGAATATAAACGACTTTTGGTGCATTCAATAAATTGTTAAAAAAACTGCAATACAATAAGAAATATTTACAAAAACTTTCTGTGTAAAATGAATTTTTTTTTGTTGAGATAAAAATGAAACATATGTTAATTTCTGCCTGATGTTTTATTGACAAAACCTTTAAACATATCACCCTGGCTGTTGATTTCTGCCTGATTTTCATTGAAAAAAAACCTTTAAACATATCAGTCTGGCTGTTGATTTCTGCCTGATGTTTCATTGATTAAACCTTTAAAAATATCAGTCTAGCTGTTGATTTCTGCCTGATGTTTCATTGACAAAACCTTTAAATATATCAGTCTGGCTGTTGATTTCTGCCTGATTTTCTTTGAAAAAAACCTTTAAACTTATCAGTCTGGCTGTTGATTTCTGCCTGATGTTTCATTGACAAAACCTTTAAACATAACACCCTGGCTGTTGATTTCTGCCTGATGTTTCATTGACAAAACCTTTAAATATATCAGTGTGGCTGTTGATTTCTGCCTGATGTTTCATTGACAAAACCTTTAAACATAACACCCTGGCTGTTGATTCCTGCCTGATGTTTCATTGGCAAAACCTTTAAACATATCACCCTGGCTGTTGATTTCTGCCTGATGTTTCATAGAAAAAACCTTTAAACACCATGTTTGTTTACAGGCGTTTCTACTTCATCTTCACCTACTTCATGTTTTTCTACAACATTTTCCTGGGACTCGTATCCTGCCTGCTCCGTATCATCAAAGCCATGATGGTTGGAACAATTTTCTTAGCTCGACTCGACAACAGCACACTACCTCGAAAATTTGAATTTTTTGATCCAGGTTGGATAGTGTCAAATTATAAACTTATCATTTTATAGACCTTTCATTTCACATCTAACAGCACATTTGTTCTACTTATTTCAACTGAATTTGTTGGTTTTTTAAATCAAGCTTAATTTGCTTAGTTATCATTCTTTTCATTGTGCTGTATCCATAATTTCTTCATCCTGATGAAAATTCAAAAGTCTTCAGTCTCTACATACTCTTTACAAAATTTTTTTCATATGTAGGCCTATTTAAAAAAAAAATTAAAATAACATTTTTTTTTTACTGTTACAAATCTCATCCAAAAAGTTTTTTTAAAAATAATAAAAATAAGATTCTATATTTTCTTAGTAGCACTGATCCATTAATTTTTTTTCTCTCCAAAAAATATGAATTTTGGAATTCTTTTTTATCCAGGGTTTGCAGCATACCAAGGTTACATTCACATGGAGGCAGCACACACTCATCCTGTTGTCAATGTATTCATACGCCTTCTGGTAGCCTTGAGCAAGCAGCGGAAGTTGCAGAATGAGAAATCAGTTGAAGTGGAGATGACTGACATAGACGATGTGAAATCTCCAGTGATGGAAAAACAAAATGGAGTTCATTCTGGTAAAAACATTTGCATCCAAAACTAAATCTGATTTAAAAAATAATAAAAATAGCAACTAACTATAAGAATTAAAAAAAAAAAATTTTACTTTCCTTAAATGTTATTGTTTTTGATAGAAGCTTTATATCTTTTGTATGATTTCAATAAATTATATTCCCTTAACAGACTCAAGGAAAGATAGGCCTGTTAATGTGGCCGCAAGATTCAACTGGCTAGTAACCTACACTTTGTTACACAATCCTGCAGTAAGTATTTACTGTTGCTTATAAAAATAATATATTACTTTTTATGTCAATATTAATTTTAGATATTAAAACAAATTTTTGTTGGTGTTGCTGCTGTACATTTTTTTCCCACTGGTTGATTGGTGGTAAAATAACTGATATCATTTTCTAACCATTATGAACCATTAATAATTTAAGCTGTTACTCAAAGCATCATCAAACATAATGTTTAATAAATAAAATGTCCTTTTTTAAAAAAAAAAAGTTTTTATTTTGTGACAGGTCAGACTTTATCGCAAAGGTTTCATCCAAGCCATGAAGAAGGCCAGGAAGGAAGGTTTAAGGGTCCCCATCAGTGATAAACCCATCACAGACTTTGATCTGGTCAAGACTCTGGAGGAGAGAGAGAAAGAAAGACAGGAGGAGCTACAAAAACTGCATCCAACGCAGCATGGAGTTTCTGCTGGCATCGTGGCCATCACTAAAGGGACCAGTGTACAAAGCAACTCTTCTGTGAAAAAAGATAGCAAGAAAAAGAGGCCCATGTTGAGTTGGTTAAAAAAGAAATCAGTGGAGTCAGAGGCTAATCAGCCGCTCAGTGGAGAAGAGGCGGGGCTGCATGAAGAAAAATCTCTGGGCAGTGATGATATCAATGATACTAAAAAGACCCTTGATGAGAGTGAAGATATTGAGATGAGGAATCAGGAAACTCTTTTGCTAGTGGAAGGAGACCTTTCACATATTAAGGTTTAATGTTCACGAATCAGTTTAATTTTAAAAGTTTACATAAATTTTTCATTAGGATTGGAATGTGAAAATATTTTCTAGTCATATTTTTTAAAGCTAAAATTTATGAAATTGCAAGACATGTTGAGTGAAATTAATAAACTAAATAGGGTCAACGACATGAAACAGTCAGATTTTTTTCTTCAACTGTAACAATAAATAAATATATGGTATTTGTCTCGAGAAAATGACTATGAAATGTATCACTTCTTTTTACTTTTTAAATATTAATGCAGTCTATATATTAGTGTTCTTGGCCTAATTATAGAAAATCCACATTCTTGTGGGTGCTCAATGCGAACTGTCTAACTTATGCAGGGCTTCTAGCAACGTAGAATATCATTATGTAAAGGACATTTTTTAAGGCTGAAACATTAAACAATATGAGGCTAAACATTCTATATTTAATTTGTAAAAAGCCCTGCATTGATTTTTATGAAAGATGAACACATTTTAAAAACCGGGGAATAATCTAATACTGATGCCACCTTATAAATTATCTTTCCAATTCAGTTTTCAGGGCCATACAAATGTCTCAGAGACATACTTCAAAAGTATGATGCTAATAAAAATAGCTACATATCATCATTACGTTCTGAAATGGTTAAAATCCTATCTTTTTTAAATGTATAAAAGTTAAAAGACCCGGACCCCCCCCCCCCCCCCCCTTTTTTTTTTTGTTTCACCCTTTATTAGGGAAGCCATGACAAATCTCCATTTAAATAGAAAATTTGTATTTGCCGAGACTTCTGAAGTTTACTATTATTTAGCTATTATTGTAAAAGTTTTTTTTCTCTGCTGCCTGTTTTGTAAATTATCTTCTGCCGCATTGTTTGTTCAGGTGTAAATATATTAAAAGAAATGTACTGGGTGCTCAATGTGTGTATTTTTGTATTACCTATATTTTAGTTAACAATAGTTAAATTATACCAATAGAAAGAAGGAGAAAATTTTAAAGTCTAAATTTAATTTCTAAATAGCATACAGCTGCAGCAATGATTGAGAAGATTCGCGTTACTTGGAAAAACTATTTTTCAATGAGTTGCAAATAGTTTCAGAGTTTGGGGGACATCCGTAAATGAATTCATTTTTATTAAAGGCCGATTTATGAACACTCCACCTTTTCTCCATAATCACATTTTTCACAAATTCAGACACCCTCTTAATACACCATCCCAAATTCGTAACCTTCTCTTCCTCCACCCCAACCATCATTTATGAATGGTCTATTGCAATCAATTTATTAAGATTTTGAAAATTTCATTTTGTATTATTTCCAGAATCAATTCAAGATACACCCCAAATCAATATAATGTTAATATATTACATTAACATTCTGATTAAATCAAAATATTGTAAAATAATTAAAATACTATAAGATGTAGGTTTTAAGTAGGGTTACAAATGAAAGTGTAAAAAAAAATTTAAAAATTCAGTTTTGTTAGAATGCCTAATTCTATAAGACAACAAAAAGTTCCTTTCCACATAACACACAGTATAGCTGCTATGTCTGCAGCTCAGGAGGATAACTTAATGATACATTGCTATCATTTGAAATGAAATTTATATTTCTTGAATTAATAATAGCAATTGCTAGATTAATCTATACCGTCAAAGAACATTACTTAATTCTAAAAAAATTAAATATACAAGAATTGTATGATCTTGTCTTACCAAGAGTTTTGGACACTTAAAAAAATTCAACAAGGGAAAATTTTTTTAAATTTAACATTATAATTAAAAATAAATTAAGTATTGAAGTTGAGTATAAAATTAAATAGTTTTGGCTTTCCATGAATAGTCTCATTTTTTAATTGTTATTTTTGGACCACCATTAATCAGAACCCCCCCCCCCCCCCCCCAAAAAAAAAAAAAGAGAAAAAAAATACACTCAAACAATTTAACCATAAAACATTTAAACTATTTCTCTAGCGCAAAATTCAGCCATCATATATAATACCCCCCCCCTCAAAGAAATAGAAGAAGTAAGAACTAATTTATTCCCTATGAATATTCTCAGGGATGTAGACAACCCTGAAATGGGGACATCGTTTTTAAACAAAAAATTACCAAGGGTCCAATTTATTTAAAATATAATTAAAACCTTTCTAGTGGATGCTTATGTCATAAATTGAGTACTGGCATATGTCATAAATTGAGTACTGGCATATGTCATAAATTGAGTACTGGCATATTTCATAAATTGAGTCCTGGCATATGTCATAAATTGAGTACTGGCATATCTCATAAATTGAGTACTGGCATATCTCATAAATTGAGTACTGGCATATGTCATAAATTGAGTACTGGCATATCTCATAAATTGAGTACTGGCATATGTCATAAATTGAGTACTGGAAATTCAGTGTGAGCATGGAGTGTAGCCTAATCTATAATTAGAATAAATAAACACATTTGGTTGAACAAACATCTATGATTTTTCAATTCTAATTTTGTGGGTGTGCATTCAGCAATTCCTATTTGGTAATGATACATTCTTAGGATTATGTACTGCCCCCTGAGATGTCTCGGCTGTGTGCAGACGTCTGTCGTATCTTAAGTGAACTCATCAACAGCGTGACTTGCCACGCTAGTCTTTTAAAAACAAGTTTTAAGAATCACTTATACAGACAGTTAACGTCTTGATGTCTCTTAAATCTAAACCAAGTAACCTACGCTTTGGTGGCCATGTTTTATTTCAACACAAGTTGTCATCACAAGCAACCGACGCTTTGGTGGCCATGTTTTATTTCAACATAAGTTGTCATCATGATTTTCTTTCAAGTTTAAGTGGTGACACGTGACGCTCACATACAATCATTTTTTTTTTATAAGGAGTCCTTTCTTGGCAGAGTCAGTTCCTAAAATCTCCGCCTTTCAAAAATTGGATTTTTCGCTTCTATTCGTAACTTTTAATGTTCGTCATATCTGTTTAAAAAAAAAATAAATAAGGTTGGATCTTTAAAATACCCATCTGTCGGACAAGGACATCTCTTCCGAGAGATCTAGGTCAAGATCTCCAGTGATGGACCTGTCAAAGATCTCGGCTGGACGATCGACGTAACCGAACAGCCGGAAGTCCGCTGCGTACATCTTGCTGACCTTTTTCAAGACCCCCACGTTTACGGAACGATACGCGCTGACGAAAGCCTTGAACTTTTGCTTCTTTAGTTCAGTCTTATCTTTGGATTTTCTGAAAGCGGCCATTAGCAGACGAATGAACTCGCGGGCCTCAACGTCTTCGATGGAGCCAGCATCCAAAATGTGTGAAATGTTTTGCCGGTCGCTGATGAAACCCCTGATTTGAAGCTTCTTCCAGATCCGCTTAGCAGATTCGAATTTCGTGATGCATTTGGAGACGCGGGGTTCCCATACGGTAAAGGCATCCGTCACGGAATCCTCTATCGCGTCCTTCGCCGAGTCTTCCGCCATGTTGTCGAAGCCGATCTGCGTCTCGGAGACGTTGAGCAGGGACGAGAGATACAGCGCGTCCCTTTTGAACGTCTCCATGTGACCGATGACGTCATAGTCAGCGCTGCAGGGCTCGCACAACCTAAAAACAGGCCTGACGTGGGGGTCCATCTTGTCCAGGTTCGTCTCCGACCCAAGCGTGAACTTGAGAAACTCGGAAAACGTGACGTCATGCCCGCATTTCAGGGCAATTTCAGACGGGCGCTTCCTGAATTTCTTCACCGTGGGGATTCCCCATTTTTCCCAGAATGTCGGGTTCGGCGCCTGCAGTTTGTCGATGTAAACAGAGAAAAGCCTGGCGTAAGGATCACGGACGAAGACGAATTTCTTGGAATTGCTGAGAAACTTTTGAATATCATCCACGACTGTGGGTTCTGCCTGCTTCATCGGTTTCTCTTTGCGCCTTCGACGCTGGGCATTGAGGGTTTTGGAGAGGTTTTCAATGGAGGTTAGTAAAGGGCCACATCCGTAGATCATTTTCACGGGGACTTCAAAGGGTGACCTAAGAGACCAGGAGGGCGTTAGGAGAAAATGACGTAGTCAGTGTCACCGTTGTGTTAATATGGATATTGTAAGGGTATAGTTTAATTACTGGTCAGCGTTGCTGTCGTGGGTGGTGTGGTTAATGTGGACAGTAGGTTGGTGTGATTCTGGTTGATCTGGTCCGTGTGGTTAGTGTGGTAAAGTTGTTTGTGGGGTAAATGGATTTGGCGTGTACTGCGTGGGTAGCGTCGTAGAGGCGGTCTGTGTGGTTGGTGTAGTCAGTGTGGCTGGTCTTGTCAGTGTGGCTGATTTCATGTGGTGAGTGGGGAAAGTGTGATTGGGTATGGTATTTCAGACCTAACTCAAAGGAAGAGTGCGGTTATTTTGGTTGGTGTGTTCAGTGTGGTTGGTGTGTTCAGTGTGGTTGGTGTGTTCAGTGTGGTTGGTGTGTTCAGTGTGGTTGGTGTGTTCAGTGTGGTTGGTGTGTTCAGTTTGGTTGGTGTGTTCAGTGGGGTTGGTGTGTTCAGTGGGCTAGGTGTGTTCAGTGTGGTTGGTGTGTTCAGTGTGGTTGCTGTGTTCAGTGTGGTTGGTGTGTTCAGTGTGGTTGGTGTGTTCAGTGTGGTTGGTGTGTTCAGTGTGGTTGGTGTGTTCAGTGTGGTTGGTGTGTTCAGTGTGGTTGGTGTGTTCAGTGTGGTTGGTTGTGTTCAGTGTGGTTGGTGTGTTCAGTGTGGTTGGTGTGTTCAGTGTGGTTGGTGTGTTCAGTGTGGTTGGTGTGTTCAGTGTGGTTGGTGTGTTCAGTGTGGTTGGTGTGTTCAGTGTGGTTGGTTTGTTCAGTGTGGTTAATGTGTTCTGTGAAGTTGGTGGTGTAGTATGTATGCAAAATATTCAGCCACCTCATAGGATCCGAGTGTTCAGTGTGGTTGGTGTGGTATGTACCAACCTCATAAGATCCATGTGTAAAGTGTGGTTGATGTGTTCAGTGCAGCTGGTGTGTTCAGTGTGGTTCGTGTGGTTTGTACCCACCTCATAGGATCCGTGTGGTCCAGCTGATACATAAACCGCCTGAAGAAAGTGGAAGCTGTCTTCTCCACGGGGCAGTAGACAACGCGACGTTCTGTGGACACGAATGCACGAGCGAGGGTCGAGCCTGTCAGATTCATGGCTTTACAAACCTGGCGCAAATGTCGTCTGCAGCAAGAATTAAGTAAAATGAATAAGGACATGCGAAAGACCTAAAATTGTTCGAAATCTATTCCCGAATTTCACATTATTAAAAGTATTATAATCAATGTATCGATTTTTTCAGTCATCTAAAGAAATCGATTTACTCCTCTTAAAATCCACTTTCCTATTATTCGATTTACTATTTATTATAAATTGCAGACTTTTTTCATGGCCATCGTCAAATTTTTCAGCCCAGTGGAGAATCACGGCAGAGATTAGATGTAAACATTGTCCATAGTACAAACCTTCTTTTCTCCATTTCAATTTTGACTTTACCGAGGACAGTTGATGTCAGTTCCGTCACATCACCAGGCTGGTCGGTTCTCACGAGATGGGCCTCTCGGGCCGGCGATCGGGTCAGCATTAAGTCCCTTAGGCGGACAATGAGCTGTCGGGTGTCAGTGTCGTCCCCACGTGGTCCTGTCAGAGCTTGGGAAAAACAAAACAAAAGGCCGTGGTGAAAAAAACAACATTAGGGCGTGGCTTAGCTTAGAGGTTGACCAATAAGAATCTATGTAATTATTGGTCTTAATCTTTACATCCCTCAATATCATTCAATACGTCGCGAAAAAAAATTCAAGTGATGTATGGAATCATTCTCTACCTTTTTATTTTAATTAAAATGATTTACTTCTTAACGTGACAGTTAGTGACTGGGATGCTCTGTGTGTTACTGGCATGCTCTGTGTGTTACTGGGATGCTCTGTGTGTTACTAGGATGCTCTGTGTGTTACTGGGATGCTATGTGTGCTACTAGGATGCTATGTGTGTTACTGGGATGCTCTGTGTGTTACTGGCATGCTCTGTGTGTTACTAGGATGCTCTGTGTGTTACTAGGATGCTATGTGTGTTACTAGGATGCTCTGTGTGTTACTGGGATGCTATGTGTGTGTTACTGGGATGCTCTGTGTGTTACTAGGATGCTCTGTGTGTTACTAGGATGCTATGTGTGTTACTAGGATGCTCTGTGTGTTACTGGCATGCTCTGTGTGTTACTAGGATGTTCTGTGTGTTACTAGGATGCTCTGTGTGTTACTCGGATGTGCTGTGTGTTACTGGGATGCGATGTGTGTGTTACTGGGATGCTCTGTGTGTTACTAGGATGCTCTGTGTGTTACTAGGATGCTATGTGTGTTACTAGGATGCAATGCTCTGTGTGTTACTGGGATGCTATGTGTGTGTTACTGGGATGCTCTGTGTGTTACTAGGATGCTCTGTGTGTTACTAGGATGCTATGTGTGTTACTAGGATGCTCTGTGTGTTACTGGGATGCTATGTGTGTTACTAGGATGCTCTGTGTATTACTGGGATGCTCTGTGTGTTACTAGGATGCTCTGTGTGTTACTGGGATGCTCTGTGTGTTACTAGGATGCTCTGTGTGTTACTAGGATGCTCTGTGTGTTACTGGGATGCTCTGTGTGTTACTGGCATGCTCTGTGTGTTACTGGGATGCTCTGTGTGTTACTGACATGCTCTGTGTGTTATTTGGATGTCCTTTGTGTTACTGGGATGCTATGTGTGTTATTGGGATGCTCTGTATGTGCCTGGGATATCCAATTGCACAGATTATTATTGTCCGGAATAATAAAATTGTGATTATACAGCACGGAAAATGACAGTACCGACAATAACTGTAAGGACACTACACACTCCCAACACCAACAGTAAAAATACCAATTGCTTACCAATTGCTTAAGGTGCTCAACAATAATTAATACTAAAAAATCTAATACTCGACCGAAATTGACTTTAAAAATACCTCTTCGCTCGATAACCAATCAATAACCCTATTAATCAGCGTGCTAAACAAGTCTACAATATCTACACATATTCCAATTGTATAACGAATCAATACGAGTCGACACTAAATTATTCTCACCATAGTTTAGGCAGATGATCATCAGACCGGAGACAAACCCCACACAAAAGTACTTTATTTTTCTAACACATTTCATCTCACGTCCTCGTCAGTAACGGCGCCCAACCTCACCAACGTCTCACTTGAAGTTCATGGTTGGTGAAGATAACTGAATCATTTTAACACGTTCCCTATGGAGACATCAAATTGGTGAAGATTCACCTTTATTTGCAACTATCCTTCATTGTTTGAAATCCAATTAAAAAAGTGAGACTTAATTTTTCACTCAATTTAATGTTTCACTAAATGTTCCACTAAATGTTTCACTAAATGTTCCACTAAATGTTTCACTAAATGTGTCACTCAATGTACTTGGTCGTTGAGCTCGTGTTAATGTGTCCTGCTTGAAACAGGTCAATCACTAATTTGGTGGTGGCGTTCCGATAAAGACATAAGGTTCTCAAACGGGGTGATCGTGAACACTAACGGGTAGGGCGTACTTTGAGGAGGAAGGGGTCAGAGGAACTAAATGTGCAGCAAAAGAATGAATTATAGTATTATCAGGCTAAATTTTAAATTAAAAATATCAATCTTTTGACTGTCAATCCCCAATAGACAGAGATTTGAGAATTTTTTTTTTATTATACATTAATTCAAAAAATTAATAAAATCATCATTAAAAAAAAACAACAAAAAAACTTTATCTGCTACCGATCTTTGTTGTTCTTCTTCTTTTTTTGAAAATCAAATGCTTTTAAATACATACTATATATAATATATTTATAGATGACATATTAATTGTATGACCTATGGGAAAAGGTTTGTCATGTCTAAGGTCGGAAAACGTCGCATCGCGTTACGTAATGTTACTATTTTAAGACCATTTGTCGTAAAACATAACTTCTAACAATGTATTTTCGCATATATATATAGTCTCAAAACACCATGACGTCTAACATCCTGAACGAGGCTCCAGTGACCACCATTTCATTTCACATTCCAAATTAACTCATTAGTTCAGAAAGAATGCCGATTTCAGCGGTGGAGGATTTCTTCACAAGGTTTCAAAAAACGGGAATAGGAACATCTGGTACATCCGCCCTTGGCTAAAAGTAATTAGTCGAGACTGGCTAGCGTATTGACGGAACTGCTTAACGAATTGCAGATGACTACGTAACGATTTAACGTAGTTTTACACATGGACATCTGATTTGGGAAAGCACACTACACAGAAACACGGCTACGCAGCTCAACAACTAAAAATCGTCCACGGGGATTTGTACAGAAAATATTTCGTGCCAGTATAACAAGTAAACCACGATGCTTGATTTGTACACAAGAAAATTATGTGACGACAGATTTGTACGCAAGCATGTAATATAATGGTATATTTGTACACAAGCATGCTATATAATGTCAGATTTGTACACATTAAGGTGCCACTCAAAAAAAGAATGTTTTAATTTTTTAACCTCCCACCTCTCCAGTTGGTTCATATTGTTAAAATAAAAAAAAATAAAAGCTGACAAAATTGGGATGGATTCTAATAATATTTCAGACGCTGGCAAAGATGATCAAAATGTAATGGTTTTCTTTTATTATCGTCTACTATAAAATTTAACATCACCATTCACAACATACTGTAAACATCATTTTAAAATGCTCCAACTAAAACATATCTTGTCGTTGCTAAGTGAATTATGAATATTTTTGCGCGTCATCAGTTTAACTCAAACAGGAACCTGTCCAGTTCCATTTGGCAAATTTGGCACGCCCACCAACGAAATTGATCCATCTTCAGACAACAGACAACTTCATTGGTCTATCTTCAGACACCAGACAGCTTCATTGGTCTATCTTAAGACACCAGACAACTTCAGTGGTTCATCTTCAGACACCAGAGAACTTTATTGGTCCATGTAAAGAAACTAGACAACTTCATTGGTCCATCTTCAGACACCAGACAACTTCATTCGTCAATTTCAAGACACTATATAGCTTCACTGGTCCATCTAAAAAATACTAGACAGCTTCATTGGTCCATCTCTAGACACTAGACAGCTTCATTATTCGGTCTCGATATATCAACAACTTAATTGGCCCATCTCCAGTCACCAAATACTAAATAGGTCCATCTCCCGACACGAACAACTTAACTGGTCCATCTCCAGACATCAACAACTTAATTTGTCCATTTCCAGACACCAACAACTTAATTTGTCCATTTCCAGACACCAACAACTTAATCTGTCCATTTCCAGGCACCAACAACTTAATTGGTCCATCTCCAGACACCAACAACTTAATTTGTCCATCTCCAGACACCAACAACTTAATTTGTCCATCTCCAGGCACCAACAACTTAATTTGTCCATCTCCAGGCACCAACAACTTAATTTGTCCATCTCCAGACACCAACAACTTAATTGGTCCATCTCCAGACACCAACAACTTATTTGATCCATCTTTAGACGCCAGAACCGCAAGGCGTCATCAAACCTCTTGGATATTAAAAGAAGACACATTTTCCAATCCCAGTATAATGTTAATGAACAATGTCGTCCAAACAATGCCTGAAACTCTTAAGCTACTGTTTCACGGTTCTTGTGTCTGACTCTTCTGGTTGATCCTTTGTTAATTTCTGCAGGGCTGTAGGACTATGCCCAAGTGATTCTGCTGCAGTTGCAAAGATTTATGTTTTCCTGTCAATGACGTTGGTTCTGTCTAATGTAACTGCTAAACCTGGGCTAAATGCTACTGGTTAACCCTGATTAGCGTTGGTTGACAAGGAGTTTGTTGCTAATGGAGTCCTTGTCCACCGCTCCTGGTTTCCGTCTCAACCTGCTGTTGATAAACTCTATCTTAGGTGCCGCTTCAGTCTCCTATGCCTAGCGATTTTCTTTCACCAACGCTCGTTTTCGCCAATTTTCTTGTTTTCGAGAAACAGCTCGCGCTCATTGCTACAAGGCCTCCCTTCTCTCACTGTGCCTGTAGGAATTCCCTTCAGAGTGTGTAATGTCACATAACCCTGCAAACTTTCAGCAAATTTACACGTTTTAAAATTGCCATCTCTCTTAGGCATATCACAACTGATACTTGCCATCTCTCTTGGGCATATCACAACTGATACTTGCCATCTCTCTTAGGCATATCACAACTGACACTTGCCATCTCTCTTGGGAAGATCACAAGTGACACTTTTCATCTGTTGTGTACCATTATGAGTACAGAGAATTTAATCTCTTATTTAACTATATGGCTCGTTAAACAACAGTACACAACAAAAGACGATACAATAAATTAAATACAATAGAACAGAAGATTCAGGCTAAATACAATTAATAATTTTATTATGTTAATTCAATATTACAAAATCAAAAAGAAATACAAACTAAAGCTAATGACTTACAGTACAGTGATGGCTTGTACCGGTACAATGTTGAAGAAGCTACAATGTTGCAAAAAGTACAATGCTGAAAAAGCAACATACACATATGCGGCAAAAATATACCGGTGTTTAACAAATACCCCATCTCGTATAACAAATCTCTCTCGTCATCCCTCAATCCAGTGGCGTAGCTAGGGGAGGTGGAAGGGGGTCCAAATTTGAAAGTCCCCCCGGCCCCTACTTGAGGGTGGTTCAAGCATATTTTATAATGTCAGTTTTGTACACAATCATATTACATAATGTCATTTTTACATAATCATATTATATAATATATTGTCAGATTTGTACTCGAGAATATTATATAATGTAAGATTTGTGCATAATCATATTATATCATATTAAATATGTATTTCAGCTTTGTACACAATATTTGTACACAAGCAAATGCTGTTATGTCAGATTTGTACACAAGGAAATTACATTCTGTCCGATTTGCACTCAAGCAGATTAACTCATGCGAGTACTGCACACAATGAGATTAGCGAAGCTTACGAGGAGCCATTTTTATATCTCCCTTTCCCCAGTTACAGTTGACGAAAATGAGCGAGATGAAAGTCCTCTACAGCAATGGAGCTTTGGAGATGTTCAGCATATTATATGAGCGTATCAAGAAATAAATAAAGGCTTATAAATACATAACAGGACATACTACCTATTTTTCCTGCGCCGGAATTAAATACGCTGACACCCTGCTAAAAGGCAAGGCGCAGATCTTAATCTCAGGTGAATTGAGATGAAGTCAAAACAAGTTAAAACCGGGGCGCGCCCATTCTTCTGGGCCATGCTTCTGTGCCCTCACTTCTGGGCCACGCCCGGGGGTGGTGGTTGGGGGGGGGGACTACCTTCTGGGACATGCCTGGGCGACCCTCCCTTTTGGGTCCTCACTGTGTGCTTTTTACACATGTGTGACTTTCATCGTATCCAGATGTATAAAAGGAAAATTCGAGCAATACGACCAGATAATCCAAATCAGTTTAGCCATCTATATAGTCTGCTCGTGTACCTCGGATGTAGTTCATTTATGTTACGGCTGAGGGGGGGGGGGGCAGGGCGGATTTGGGATCAGGGATTCTGTCGTCATAGCTAACGCCTAGATGAATGCATACGATAAAGAAAGGAGGGTCTGTTTGAAACTGGAGTTTGATCGGAGAGTGTCCTTGTCCATGTTATCAAGATCTTGATTCAATTGGAGACCTCCGTTAGGTTGTATTTTTAAAAAAAATAATTCCATTCTGAAGACTTAATCTTGTTGTACTAAGCAACGGACCTAGTTATATTATGAAGACCCCCGCCTCTAGTTGTATGATTAAACCCAACTTGTTGTCACTTGAAGACCCAATCTTGTTTCACTTAAAGACCCAATCTTGTTGTCACTTGAAGAACCAATCTTGTTGTCACTTGAAGACCCAATCTTGTTGTCACTTGAAGACCCAATCTTGTTGTCACTTGAAGAACCAATCTGGTTGTCACTTGAAGAACCAATCTGGTTGTCACTTGAAGAACCAATCTGGTTGTCACTTGAAGACCCAATCTGGTTGTCACTTGAAGAGCCAGTTTGGTTGCCACTTCAAGACACGATCTTGTTGACTCTTGAAGACCCAATCTTGTTGTCACTTGAAGACCCAATCTTGTTGTCACTTGAAGAACCAATCTTGTTGTCACTTGAAGACCCAATCTTGTTGTCACTTGAAGAACCAATCTGGTTGTCACTTGAAGAACCAATCTGGTTGTCACTTGAAGAACCAATCTGGTTGTCACTTGAAGACCCAATCTGGTTGTCACTTGAAGAGCCAGTTTGGTTGCCACTTCAAGACACGATCTTGTTGACTCTTGAAGACCCAATCTTGTTGTCACTTGAAGACCCAAATCTTGTTGTCACTTGAAGACCCAGTCTTGTCAATTGAAGACCCAGTCTTGTCAATTGAAGACCCAGTCTTGTCAATTGAAGACCCAGTCTTGTCAATTGAAGACCCAAATCTTGTTGTCACTTGAAAACCCATTCTTGTCAATTGAAGACCCAAATCTTGTTGTCACTTGAAGACCCAGTCTTGTCAATTGAAGACCCAAATCTCGTTGTCACTTGAAGACCCAGTCTTGTCAATTGAAGACCCAAATGTTATTGGCACTTGACGGAAACCATCTCATTGTATGTTTGAAGTCCTTTGTGGTGCATGTAATGAATAACCTGATGTTGCATTTTACAAAGACACCTGTTGGTCTTTAGAAGGAAGATCGCATCTTGTTTTGTTCATTCAGTAGAACTATTATCTTGTTCTTATCAGCTCAATGGCATCTGTCTGTCATAATATGACGACGGCGTAGACTTCGCAGGACGGAAGCACAAAGCCTAGACAGCAAATCACCTCTCGCCATACGCCTAGTTAACCCAAGGGAACACCATATATTGATGATACAGCTTGACGTCACAGGAGTCCTCAGAATTTTTCATTGTACTCATGTATACGACTACGGGACTCCGTCTCCGGGTTTCGTTATTATTTAAAGCGTCATGAATGGTGTTTCAAAATATTTATAACATACTTTAACTATAATGAGACAGATTGATGGACT